ATGTATCCTTGGAACCTTACAAGACACCCCGAGATTTTTCTCTTGGGACTGTCAGAGGACCCTGAACTGCAGCCCCTCATCTTTGGGGTGTTCCTGTCCATGTACCTGATCACCGTGCTGGGGAACCTGCTCATCATCCTGGCCGTCAGCTCAGACCCCCACCTCCACACGCCCATGTACTTCTTCCTGTCCAACCTGTCCTTTGTGGACATCTGCTTTGTCTCCACCACCGTCCCCAAGATGATGGTGAACATCCAGACACACAGTAAGGCCATCAGCTATGAAGGCTGCCTCACCCAGATATACTTTTTCATCGCCTTTGTCAGCCTGGACGATTTCATCCTGACGGTGATGGCCTATGACCGCTTTGTGGCCATCTGCCACCCCCTGCATTACACGGTCATCATGAATCCCAGGGTCTGTGGACTGTTGGTCCTGGTGTGCTGGGTCTTCTGCCACCTGAATTCTTTATTTCAGAGTTTAATAGTCTTAAGTCTGTCCTTCCCTGTGGACTTGGAAATACCCCACTTTTGCTGTGAACTCAAGCAGTTGTTGCAGCTGGCCTGTTCGGACACACTCCTGAATGACCTGGTGATATATATTTTAGCTTTGCCATTTGTGGGCGGTCCCGTGGCTGGCATCATTTATTCCTACTCTAAGATCGTCTCCTCCATCTGTAGGATCTCCTCGGCTCAGGGCAAGTTTAAAGCCTTTTCCACCTGCACATCTCACCTCTCCGTGGACTCCTTGTTTTATGGCACAGTCATTGGTGTGTACCTGAGCTCTACTGTGAGTGAGAACACACAGTGTAAAGCAATCCTCTCGGTGATGTACACGGTCGTCACCCCCATGCTGAACCCCTTCATCTATAGCCTCAGGAACAAAGACTTAAAGGGGGCTCTGAAAAAAATCTTTGGAGGGGCCAGTTATAAACGAATTTTCTGGAACCATTGAAGTGATGCTCTGACGGGGATCAAAGCAGTGAAAGCCGCGATATGTTCAGATTGGATGAGAGAGAGAGGAATAGGAGGTTTTGGTTTTCTGTGAATTTGATTTCTCTTATGAAGTTTTTCTTTGTTGTGGGTCATACTGTTTAGCCCCTCATATTCAAATTTTATATAGAGTTGAAACTGACCATGTTTAGTGAGCTACCTGTGATCCAATTTCCCCTGTCATCATATTTCTACTTGATAAATGTATTCTCAATCTGGGATCAGAAAAGGTTGCCATTCTTAATTCTGCATTCTGCTTTTTCCATTTGGCATTCTGCAGGACTGCACCTTCGTTTTTGTTTTTGTGCCACTCTCCGCAGTGCTCAGACTGACTCTTGGCTCTGAGCTCAGAGGTTACTTCTGGTGACGCTCTTGTATGGGGTGCTGGGAATGGAATGAAAGTTGGCCGCATGCAAATCAAGCACCTTCCCACTGTACTCTCTCACTGGCCATCAACTTCCTTTCTTTTATTTGTTTTCTTGCTTTATGGGCCACACCCAGTGATGCTCAAGGGTTACTCCTAGCTCGGTACTTAGGGATTACTCCTGGCGGTGCTTGGGGGGACCAGATGGGATGCTGGGGATTGAACCCAGGTTGGGCGCTTGCAAGGCAAACACCCTCCTCATTGTGCCATTGCTCCAGCCCTCTTCTTATGTTTCTTAAGAAAGAATTCAGGGCTGGAGTGATAGCACAGTAGGTAGGGTTTGCCTTGCATGCAGCCGACTGGGGTTTGATCCTCAGCATTCCATATGGCCCCCTGAGCACTGCCAGGAGTAATTTCTGAGTGTAAAGTCAGGAGTAACTCTTGTGCAATGCTGGGTGTGACCCAAAAAGACCCCCCCAAAAGAAAGAAAAATAAAAGAAATAAATTCACTTGAGGCTCTGCAGCAATAGTATAATGGGGAGGTCATTGGCCTTGCATGAGACTATCCAGATTCAGTTCCTGGCATCCCATATGGATCCCCAAGCACCACAGGAGTTATTCCTGAGAGCAGAGCCAGGAATAACCCCTGAGTATTGCTGGGTGTGATCCAAAAAAGCAAAAAAAGAAAAAAAAAGAAAAAAAAAGAATTTACTTGAATCATATGTGAACGCTAGCAAGTGGTAGGCGTTTGCCTTGCACACGGCCAACTTGACCGACCTGAGTTCAATTCCTCCACCCCTCTCGGAGAGCCTGGCAAGCTACCGAGAGTATCTCGCCCGCACAGCAAATCCTGGCAAGCTACCCGTGACCTATTTGATATGCCAAACACAGTAACAACAAGTCTCACAACGGAGACATAACTGGGCCCACTCAAGCATATCGATGAACAATGGGAGGACAGTGCTACAGTGCTATATGTGAGAGCAGGTTATTAGTTTTTGTTGGGGAGTCACACTTGTTCAGCTCTGGGGACATTCCTGGCTCTGCTCTCAAGGATCATCCAGGCTCCAAAATATTATGGGGTAGGGCGGCAGAACCTGGGTCAGTTGCGCAGAAGGTAAGTGCCTACTGCTATGATGTCTTGGTTACCCATTCTCTAAAAGCTCTCTTGAATTTACTACTAAACGGGAAACACACTGTGTTTGGGTACAAGTAATATTTGTATGTTGAGATGAGAGGAAAATTGGAGATTATTCTTTTTTTTTCTTTTTGGGTCACACCCAGCGTTGCATGGGCTACTCCTGGTTCTACACTCAGGGATTACTCCTAATGGTGCTCAGGGAACCATATGGGATGCTGGGAATTGAACCCAGGTCAGCCGCGTGCAAGGCAAATGCCCTACCCGCTGTGCTATCACTCCAACCCCAGTCACTGTCCTCCCTTTCTTTGTGTGTCACTAAAATGCTCTTCCCAATGTCATCACGTGAAAGGAAAATGGCTTCATTTCCTCTACAGATGTGTATCTCTAAGGGATGTTGCTGAGTTGATGTATTTTATTTCTGTATTTTATTTCTGTGTCTGTGTGATGACTTTCAGTCATTTCTGCGATTGGTCAAATACAGCCCATGCCAATATGCTTTGTCTTTATTTTTCTTGTCATCCCTGGGGATGCTCAGGGCTTCCTTCTGCTGTCTCTCAGGAATTATTTCTGGTGGGATTTGGGGGGACCATTTGGATGCTCATTGTAGGGGATTGGATCTGGTCTACTTGGTGCAAGACAAATGCTTTTCCCACTATATTCTCTATGAATTCCCCACTTTGCTACTTTACTTCTGGCCACATGTCATTACCTGGTCCCAGGGCAGCTCTGCAGACCAGGGTGTAGAGTGGAAACACGGGGAGAAGCTTCTGGGAAAGGCAGTTCCTGTCAGGTACGGGAAAACCAGAATGAACCCTGATGCCTAAATTCCTGATGATTCATCTTCATCTTGGAGTTGGAGAAGGGTGTTAGGGGCATGTAATTTTTCCTCACAGTGGATACTTCATCCATGTTCTTCCTTTGAGCGTGGACCTCTGCAGGTATCGATAACAACTCCGCCATCATCATTAACTATCTGGCACATGGAATCACAACCGCGAGGATCGCTGTTGCAGGAGTGTGGACTGACAGCAATGGAGCCCCCACACTGTCCCGGTCCCCCTCAACAATATCTTGTGCAGGACTCCTATAGGATGGCAAACAGATCTTCAGTGGAGAATGGAGCTCACAATATTTGTAGCTGAGAAAATGAAGTTCTGTGAACACTCAATCACACAACCCTCAGGGGTGTCCGTGAATAATGATTTCCCAATGAATCAGCATTAAGAAGAGGGGGAAGCACCTCTATTTATTTATTTATTTATTTTTTTAATTAATTAATTTATTTTTTTGCTTTTTAGGTCACACCCGGCGATGTACAGGGGTTACTTCTGGGTGTGCACTCAGGAATTACTCCTGGCAGTGCTTGGGAGACCATATAGGATGCTGGGAATCAAACACAGGTTGGCTGCGTGTAAGGCAAATGCCCTACTCACTGTGTTATTGCTCCAGCCCAGGGAAGCACCTTTAATAGGGATTTGGGCAGAGTTGGTGTCTGTATTCTCATAAATTTTAATTTAATTTATTTTAATTAATTAATTAATTTTTGCTTTTTGAGTCACAGCTGGCAATGCTCAGGGGTTACTCCTGACTCTGTACTCAGGAATCACTCCTGGCAGTGCTCCATGGACCCTATGGGATGCTGGGGAACAAACCCAGGTGTGCCACAGCAAGGCAAATGCCCTACCTGCTGTACACTTTCCCCGCCCCCTGAGTTTTTATTATCTCTTTATTTTTTATATAATTTTTATTAGTGAGACACCATGAGGTACAGTTGTAGACTTATAAATTTTTGTGCTTGGTTTTCAATTATACAATGATCAAATACGCATCCCTCCATCAGTGCCCATTTACCACACCCACTGATCCCATTATCCCTCCCACCCCCCACTCCCCCCATCCTACCCTGCCTCTGTGGCAGGGCATTCGGGTTGGAGAAATGTTATGCTAGGTGTGAGAAAGTGTTTTGAGCATCGCCCTAAAGAGTGGATTGGCACCAACTGGAAAGCACAGAATTTGCTCTTCTCCGTGTCTTTCCTTTGGGAGGGCATCTGTTGGGTAATTTTCCATTATTTCTGTCCAGCCCAGCATCCGTCCTCCTGGGAAAATCCTGTGCAGGGAAGGAGAGCCCTGAGCTAATGAGCAGTCATAAGAAGCCCGAATACTATTCTGGGCCACCGGCCAGTGTAACCTTATGTGTGCCGGAACACACTCACCGCTCTGGAGTTCTGACTCTGGTTTGATGAAGCATCCAGCCTGCCATCTCATGTGGGGACAGAGACCCAGCCCCCCACCAGGCTTCCTGGAGACAGGCTGATTCTGACACTGAGTCCTTTCTTGCAGGGGCCCCAAGGTGAGTCCTCCTGCCCAGTGGACTTAGCCAGGCACAAATATTGTACTATGTAGGGCCAGTGCAAACCGCACAGCCCAACTTTGTGCCCAGATGTCCACGTGGTCGTCGCTGTTAAATGAAAATTTACCCACGGGCTGCTGGGAATACAAAAACAATCGATATGGAGAGATGGATTCTACTTGTGAGTGAAGAATTGTGCAGGATAATGATACATATTTGATTCATTTTCTGTAATGATGGCGAAGCTCCTGACCAAGGGTGTTGGTTGGGATTCAGGGATTGAAATCATATGCATGTTAGATGCCCTCCCCAAGGCAGATGTACCTCTTGACCTCCAATTTTCATGTGCACTTATGTACAAAATTAGTAAAATGATAGAGAAGCAGACAGAGCACATGGTAATCTTCAGACAGGCCCTGTACATGTTCCCATGTCTTACAGCTATGGGTGGTTTCTTTGTAGTGTTTGTGAACAGATTTATTTTTAAAAGTTGCATCAGCCAATATATTCTCTCAAGGTTATCAATTTTTTCTTTTTTGATTTTTGGGTCACACCAGCGATGTACAGGGGTTACTCCTGGCTCATGCACTCAGGAATTACTCCTGGCGGTGCTCCGGAGACCATGAGATGCTGGGGCTCAAACCCGGGTTGGCCGTGTGCAAGGCAAATACCCTACCTGCTGTGCTATTGCTCCAACCCCAAAGTTATCATCTTTTTCCTTGGACAAAGTATCACTGTGATGTTTGTGTAGAGAGTGTGAAACTTTCCACCTACACACACACACACGTGTGTGTGTGTGTGTGTGTGTGTGTGTGTTGGGGTCAGACCCAGCGATGCTTAGGAGTTACTCCTAGCTTTGCACTCAGAATTTCTCCTGGCTGTGCTTTGGGGATCATATGAATAGTGGCTGATTACACCAAGTTCAGGAGCATGCAATGGAAGAGCCTTCCCTGCCTGCAGTACTATCTCTCCAGTTCCCTTCCAAAGGCATCTTTTTGTTTTGTTTTTTGCTTTTTTGGGTCACACCCAGCAAAGCTCAGGGGTTGCTTGTGGCTCTGAACTCAGAAATTATTCCTGGTGGTGCTTAGGGAACTCTATGGGATGCGGGAATCGAACCAGGGGCAGCTTTGTGCAAGGCAAACACCCTACCTGCTGTACTATCATTCCAACACCCAAAGACATCTTACTAGAGCTCTTCCTGCCTTCTGTTACTTCCCACAGTTTGACATTTTATATTGAATTGGCAGTCAAAGGGTAGGTGCTCATTTTGCATGCAGTTGGTCTGGGTTTGTTCTGTATCTCTTACATGGTCTTGAGTCGGTGAGGAATGATCCCTGAGCACAGAGCCAGGAGTAAGTCCTATGCACTGCCTGGTGTGGCCTGAAATAAAAAAGAAATACTGAATCGGTGTATCCCATGGATATTGTTAGCTCCTAAGTTTATGTCTTAATCAAAGGTGAATGTGACGAAGCATGATTGGGAACAGCCGAGGGTGGATTGGAAACCACCATCGCTGTATTTTCTCTCCCCTCGCAGCTGGTCTCACATATGGATCCTCGGAACCTTACACGACACCCCAAGATTTTCCTCCTGGGACTGTCAGAGGACCCTGAACTGCAGATCTACATCTTTGGGCTCTTCCTGTCCATGTACCTGATCACCGTGCTGGGGAACCTGCTCATCATCCTGGCCGTCAGCTCAGACCCCCACCTCCACACGCCCATGTACTTCTTCCTGTCCAACCTGTCCTTTGTGGACATCTGCTTTGTCTCCACCACGGTCCCCAAGATGCTGCTGAACATTCAGACGCACAGCAAAGTCATCAGCTACGTGGGCTGCCTCGCCCAGATTTACTTTTCTCTCCTCTTCATAGGTCTGGACGATTTCATCCTGACGGTGATGGCCTATGACCGCTTTGTGGCCATCTGCCACCCCCTGCACTACTCGGTCATCATGAACCCCCGGCTGTGTGGGCTGCTGGTCCTGGTGTGCTGGGTCATCAGTACCTTGCATTCTTTGTTGCAGAGCTTATTGCTCTTGTATCTGTCCTTCCCCATGAACTTGGAAATCCCCTACTTTTTCTGTGACCTCAAGCTGATGGTGCAGCTGGCCTGTTCGGACACACGTCTGAATGACCTGGTAATATATATTTCATCCGTACTATTGGGGTGCGGACCCCTCGCTGGCATCCTTTATTCCTACTATAAGATTGTCTCCTCCATCCGCAGAATCTCTTCAGCTCAGGGGAAGTTTAAAGCCTTTTCCACCTGTGCGTCCCATCTCTCCATGGTCTCCTTGTTTTATGGCACAGCCCTAGGTGTGTATCTGGGCTCTGCTGTGACCCACAGCTCACAGTCTAATGCGGCCCCCTCGGTGATGTACACGGTGGTCACCCCCATGCTGAACCCCTTCATCTATAGTCTCAGGAACAAAGACTTAAAGGGGGCTCTGAATAAAATCTTTGGAAGAGCCAGTGATAAGGACTAATTAATTTCCTGGTACCATAGAAATGATATTTTGGAGGAGTCAAAGCAGTGGAACATAAAATGTTCAGTTTGGGTGAGGTCAAGGATAAGGATTTTTTGGTTTCTGTGAATTCTATTTTTCTACTATTTTTTTTTTTTTGGCCCACAGCTGTCGTGCTCAGGACTTACTCTTGGGTCTGGCGGGGTTCAAGGGACAACATGGGATGCTTAGGATTGAATTAAGGCCACTGTCCTATCTCTCCAGCCCCTCATATTCAATTTGTATATGAGTTTAAACTGATCATGTTTGTGCCCTACCTAATAGTTTCCTCTATCATCATTTTCCACCTTTGATAAATGTATTCTTTTTTTTTTTTTAGCTTTTTGAGTCCCACCCAGCGATGCTCAGGGATTACTCCAGGCTCTGCACTTAGGAGTTACTCCTGGTGGTGCTTGGGGGACCATATGGGATGCAAGAGATTGAACCCATTTGGCTGCTTACAAGGCAAATGCCCTCCCTGGTGTATCGCTCTGGCATGATAAATGTTTTTTTTTTTTTTTTTTGCTTTTTGGGTCACACTAGCAGGATTTACTCCTGGTTCATGCACTCAGGAATTACTCTTGGCGGTGCTCGGGGGACCATATGAGATGCTGGGAATCAAAGGCAAACGCCCTGCACACTGTGCTATTGCTCCAGGTCCCGATAAATGTATACTTAATTTGGGATCAGAAAAGGTTGCCATTCTCAATTATGCGTTCTGCATTTTCCATTTGGCATTCTCAGTGACTACGCTTTCATTTTTGTTTTTGAGCAGTGCTCAGGGCTTACTACTGGCTTCTAATTCAGGGGTCATCCTGGTGAATTTTATGGAATCATATGGGGTGCTGGGAATTGAAGCCCAGTTGACTGCCTGCAAAGCAAGTGTCTTACCTGCTGTACTATCTCACTGTGCATCAACTGCAACATTTCTTAAGAATGAACTCAGGGGCTGGAGTGGTAGCATAGCAGGTAGGGCGTTTGCCTTGTACGCTGCCAACCCGGGTTCGATTCCCAGCATCCCATATGGTCCCCCGATCACCACCAGGAATAATTCCTGAGTGCATGAGCCAGAAGTAACCTCTGTGCATCGCTGGGTGTGACCGACAAAAAAAAAGGCAAGAATGAATTCAGTTGAATGGTATGTGAGAGCAGGTTATCGGTTTTTATTGAGGGGTGAACAGGATTAGCTCTGGAGCTACTCCTGGCTTTGTACTGAAGGATTCCTCCTGGCCCCGGGTTCATGGGATACTGGGGATAGAATGTGAGTCAGTCGTGCCAGAGTAAGCACCCTATGTAACGTGCTATCTCTTTGGCCCATACTCTAAAACCTCTCATGAATTCACTACTAATACGGAAACATGCTGGCTTTGGGTACAAGAATATTTGTATGTTGAGAGCAGAGGAAAATTGGATGTCATTGTCATTTTTGTGTCCTTTCTTTCTTTGTATGTCACCCAACTGTTCTTCCCATGTTCTAATGTGAAATTAAAGAAGCCCCATATGTTCATCTCTCTACGTGTGGTTCTAAAGGCTGATGCTGTGTTTAGCTATTTTTATTTCATGAGCTGCTTTTATTTCATGTTTCTGTGTGATGACTTTTAGTGATTTCTGTGGCTGGTCAAATACGACTGATGCCATTTTGTTCTTTGTTTTTATTTATTTAAAAAATTTTATTATTATTATTATAAGGGCTGGAGCGATAGCACAGCGGTAGGGCGTTCGCCTTACTAGCGGCCAACATGGCCGACCCGAGTTCGATTCCTTCGCCCCTCTCGGAGAGCCCGGCAAGCTACCGAGAGTATTCGATATGCCAGACACAGTAACAACAAAGTCTCCAATGGAGACGTTACTGGGCCCGCTCGAGTAAATCAACGATCAATGGGAGGGCCTTTACCTTTATTATTATTATTATTATCTTGCCTGCATGGCAAAGCCTGGCAAGCTACTCGTGACGTATTCAATATACCAAACACAGTAACAACAAGTCTCAAAATGGAGACGTTACTGGGCCCGCTCAAGCAAATCGATGTTCAATGGGAGGACAGTGTTTGGACAGTGTTTGACAGTATTATTATTATTATTATTATTATTATTATTATTTGCACGGCAGAGTCTGGCAAGCAACCCGTGGTGTACTCGATATACCAAAAACAGTAATAATGATGGTCCTCATTCCCTTGACCCTAAAAGAGCCCCCAATATGCCATCAGGCTACACTAGCACGCAACAGGGATGAATGGAGACATTACTGGTGCCCACTCGAGCAAATCGAAGAACAACGGGATGACAGTGGTATAATGATTATTGTTTTTGCTCCTTTTGGGTGACACTCCGTGATGCTCAGGGGTTACTCCTGGTGCTCCTGGTAGTCAGGAATTACTTCTGGCAGTGCCTGGAGAACCATATGGGATGCCAGGGATTGAACTGGTCCCCCGCTTGAAGGCAAATGCCCTACCTGCTGTACTATCACTCCAGCCCCTTTGTTTTTATTTTTGTGTCACAGCTGGGGGGGCTCAGGCCTTCCTCCTGCTCACTCTCAGGAATTCCTTCTGCTGGGGATTGTGGGAGACCATCGGGATATATGTAGCAGGGGATTGAACCCAGGTTAGCTTGGTGCAAGGCAAATACTTCACCCACTGTTCTCTCTCTCCAGTCCCCACTTTGCTACTTCACTGCTGCCACATGGCACCATCTGGTCTCCATGGCTGTTCTGCAGACCAGGATGTAGAGTGAAAACCCCAGGAGAAGCTTCTGGGAAAGGGCCTTCCCATCAGGACCAGGAAACTGGACTGGACATTGATGTCTAAATTCCTGGTAATTCATCTTCATATAGAGATTGGAGAAAGGTGTTTTGGGCATGTGATTTTTCTTCATGGTGGGCATTTGGAGCTGTGTTCTTATTTTATTATTTTTTGCTTTTTGGGTCACATCTAGTGAGGCTCAGGGGTTACTCCTGGGATGGACGTTGATGTGTGAGTGAAGAATTGTTTTGGACAATAATACTTACTTGATTCACTTTCCATATTGACAGCAATACTCTCAACCATGGGTGTTAACAGCCAGCATCATTTTATCTCCACGATTCTTGAGATCTCAGTGGTTATTTTTGCACTCTGTATTTCTTTGTTTCCTCTTTTTTTTCTGGTGTGTGTGTGTGTGTGTCAGGGACATGCTGTGGTGCTCAGTGCTTAGTCCTGTCTAAGCATCCAGATTCGGGGAATCGCTTTCATGTTTGAGTTTCCTTTTATTTTTTAACTTATTTTTTATTTTTAATTTATTTTTATTTTTTATTATTGAATCACTGTGGGACACACTTACAAGCTTTCATGTTTGAGTTTCAATCATATAACGATAAAACACTCATCCCTCCACCAGTGCACATTCTCCACCACCAATGTCTCCAGTATACTCCCCCACCCCAATCTTAACCCTCCCCCTGCCTCCATGGCAGACAATTTCCCCCATGCTCTCTCTCTGTTTTTGGGCATTCTGGTTTGTAATACAGATAGTGAGAAGTTATCACGTTTGGTCCTTTATCTGCTTTCAGCACACATCTCCCATCCCGAACGATTCCTCCAACCATTACTTCTTGGTGATCCCTTCTCTATTCCAGTTGCCTTCTCCCCCAGTTCATGAGACAGGCTTCCAACTATGGGGTGATATTCCTGGCCCTTGTGTCTACTGGTCTTAGGTGTCAGTCTCATATTATGTTATTTGATATTCCACAGGGCTGGAGCGATAGCACAGCAGTTAGGGCATTTGCCTTGCATGTGGCCGACCCGGAAAGACCCAGGTTCGATTCCTCTGCCCCTTTTGGAGAGCCCAGCAAGCTACTGAGAGTATCCTGCCCGCACAGCAAAGCCTGGCAAGCTACCCGTGTCATATTCGATATGCCAAAAACAGTAACAAGTCTCACAATGGAGAAATTACTGGTGCCCGCTCGAGCAAATGGATGAACCGTGGGATGACAATGCCCCAGTGCTCCAGTGCATTCACAAATGAATGCAGTCTGTGTCTGTCTCTGTCATTCTTACTCATTTCGCTTAGCATGATCGGGGGATCACTCTTGTTGGTGGGCTGTAGAAGCACAGGAGGTTTCAGGGATTGAACTCCGGTCAGCATTATGCAAGACAAAGACCTTCCCCATTGTTCTCTCTCTCTGGCCCCTTCATTTTGATCTGTATTTCTGTGAAAAAAAATAATTAAGAGGACTGGCAGAAGCTGATGGAGCACATATCAATCTTCAGACGTTTTCTCCCTGGCACGTTTCCATATCTTCAAGTTGTTGGTGGTTTCTTGGCAGTGTTTGTGATTCGTTTATTACTTAAAGTTGCATGAGTCACAACATTGTCTATCTTGAGTTTTTTTTTTTAATGTAGGAGTACTGCTATTTATTCAGCCACTGATTAGCTGATTGAATTGGGCACGAACTCTACCTTACTTTTTTTTTCATAATTTCATTTATTTATTTATTTATTTTATTCTTCTAATACTTATTTATTGAATCATTGTGGGAAAAGTTACTAAGCTTTGAGGCTTAAGTCTTGGTCATACAATGATCAAACACCTTTCCCTTCATCAGTACTCATTTTTCACCACCAAGTACCCCAATATACCCCTGTCCCACCCCTCCTAATGCCTGTGAGGCAGATGATTTCTACTGAACTCTTCTCTACATTGATTAGATTCATTATTTCGACAAAAGATGCACCATTGTTGTTTAGAATTTCCCCCCCAACAACCAGAATTGCTAAAAAGGCATTGTGAAATACTTTGTTTTCTATCGCTGGTTATGAGAATCATATAATGATCTTGGATTTCTGCAAAGAGCCAGATAATTACGAGATTGTTTTCTGTGCGTCTAGTGTTATGGCTGTGCCGGAGAGCCACTTGTGGGGGGCAACTCATGACCTCGGTAGGGCGTGAAAGACGAGCTGGTACTGCCCCCTTTCCTATGAGACTGCAGTTGCCCTGTCACCACC